TGGGTAGTCATATTAGATTAATTACAAAGCAATCAAAACTAAAAAAAAAAAACAAGAATTATTATGTGGTACGATATAATGTTTGTTAGTTTGAAAAGTTCTGTCCAACTTATTAATTTCATTATATGTAAACATCAATTAACACTGAAGAAACATGTAATGTTTTTACACAACATATAGTGAAGGAAAGTGTCCGCGGAACTACTTAAAACACTGCACCAAAAACTCATGCAAACCAGACCAAACAACTATAAATTTAACTTCAAAATCAAAATAGAAATAGATAGCATGAAGAAGATTGCATAAGTGACTTTATGAAGCTTGATGCTATATATAGATCATGATGTAATGGATATTTAGGGGGAAACCCGTTATTAATAAAAATGGCAGAATTTTTATATTTTTTGGAATGAGAGAAAAACTTGGAAATCAAGCAATAATACCACTTATAATCATTATAATGATAATGATAACAAAAACAATAACTTTAAAAATAATGATATGACCCTGATGAAATTCCCATCACCATATTAGATTGTGCATCTGGAAATATGTAACTTATATGAAATTATGAAATTAATTTTTATCTTTTGATTGAAGATATTTGCGATATATTTTAGCCCTTGTGCCCGGTTTCACATACCCATCGTCCAGAAATTCAAACGGCTTTCCCTTCTCTCCAAGTGAGGCGATTGTCTGACTACGCTGCTTTGGTGCTGGGGTGACCTGCGAGCTCGGAGCATTGAATTTCACGTTGGCAGGTGGATACGGCTTCTTGTTTGGTTGAGTGGATGTTGAGAATAGCCCGCTAAAGCTGTAATGAAAAAAAATGTTGATAGAGTTTATTAAAATCTAAATATTTGGTAAGTTGGGAATCGGGGCACGTAGAGGTGGGCAAAGGAAGGAAGGACGACCTAGAAAGTGATGGTTAGATTGTGTAAGAGATGTATTTATATGTTTCAATGTATAATGACAACCAACTCTGCTCAGATCAATCTGAGCAGAGTATATATACAGAGTGGACATTTATCTTTTTTCCTGCAATTGCAGAGTTTATCAGACTGTTGTTGCTTAGCAACCAGAGGCTGTTTTTTGTGGGCTCTGATTATACTGCCCATGTTTCTTGAGCAGCTGTAGCTGACTTTGACATTGTTCTTGTTGAACATCTCCGATGAGACCTGAGCCAGTTGAGACTCTTACTGAACAGATGGCAGCCATGAGGATAGGTCCAGAAGTGCTGAGCACATTATAGACAAACAAGGTACCACTGGTGCAGTGTGCAACCTAGTTTTCACCAACTTCAGGTTGAGGACAATAAGACGTGGATTTTGATCCACAACTTGATAGCCAGCGATTGCAAATTGCTCTTGCAAAATCTCAGAAAGGACATTATTGAAGCCACAAATGCCTTTGATGTTATAGTTATGTATTTGCCCATCAAGCTCGAAAGAATATAACTCAAGTAAGGGTGCAAATGTGTGAAATACAGCAAGCCTCCGACTATTTCTTTCATTTTAATCCACAACTTGATAGCCAGCAATTGCAAATTTTCTCTTGCAAAATCTCAGGACATTATTGAAGCCACAAATGCCTTTGATGGTATAGTTCTATATTTGCCCATCAAGCTCAAAAGATCCATAACTCAAGTAAGGGTGCAAATGTGTGAATACAGCAAGTATATATATACATGTATTTGTATGCCTTACTGTTCAATACAATTACAACATCTACTTCAGGTCGAAATGGCTCTTCTATTCAATATTAAGAACTATATGTCTACTATGACCCTCCATAAACTAAATTTTGTTACAGAACACCTCAAAATATGTAATAATTTGAGAATAACATGTCAAAAATATGGGGAAAAAAAAAGAGTAAAAGTTCACCAGCCTGACCTCATAGGTACAAGTTAATAGTGCAACAAAATTGTTCTTGAAATGACTTGGTTCAAATCATGATGAGAACAATATGTTTTTCTCAAACATTCATAAAACTTTCTGTCAATGCAAAAATATGCTTAAAGCCCAGTCAAAACTATCAAATTTTATTGGACAAAAACTTGTGACATGCCTAAATATGGTCATGATGACATCACATCATGACCATATATAGGCACATCATGACCATATATGAGGCTGCCTTCACAAAACCAGCATACTGTCGCTAATTGTTAAACTGATCAATTAGCATTTGAATGTGACAGTATTGTATACTTTAGTACAGAGAAGCTGTAATACTTTTACTCATAACTTTGACCATAGTAAGTTGATAAAATGACATCACTTTAAGATTTAAATGTGAAGAATATGGATATATTAAAAAGTAAATTTTCTTGTTTTGGTCATTGATGCAGGTTTGGACAACCCCATATAAGCACATCAGGATTATATATGAGCATACAATAATAAAAAAAAAAACAATCACTAAAGGTGATCTCATTCCTAAGCCTAATGTAGAAATCTTTAAAACTTTATTCAGCTCCAATGCTCCTTACATCTAACAACTCTCATCCACCAGTTGTCCGTTCTGCTTTCACTTTCTCTTCTTTCAAATCCAACCTCCTTAGTTATCTTTCATTCCAATCTTGTGTTTTCCTTAAATCATTATTTTATATATGTATATACTGTAGGCCTATATACGGTTTTTTCTGATTTATATTATTATTAATTTTTAAAATTTATTTATTTATTTTTATTTTTTTTTGCCCTGCTTTAATTTAATTACTTTGTTTATGTTAAAGAATCTAGTTTAATTGTTATACTTCTGTTCTAGTTGTATGTACTGAGGGTCCCAATTGGATGGAACACCCTCGTAAAATATTGTTAAAATAAAAAATAAAATAAATAAATAAACACAGTTTTTTGTCATAGAATATTGCATGATCTGGACAGGCCACTACTTACAATTTCCAGACGCTTGATTTGTTTTTCTTCTCAAATGAAGGGTGTT